GAAAACAGGCCTGGCCATAAAACCAAGCATTTAAATAATTTTTCCCAGTTGATTGCACGTTAATTAGCAAGGTAACTTGGATATTACATATCCCCTTCTTCTTTCTGTCTTCCTCAGGCAGACAAGCCACAGCAGTAATATATTGAGGTATTTTTATATTATAACAGAATATGATAGAGTCTTCTGATAGTAAAAAGCTTAATTTTTTTTTTTTTACTAAATGGGTTTAAAAAAAACCCTTGAGGTCTAAGAAGCCTTAGAGTAGTTTTAGTGACTTTTAAATCACAGAATTTGAGATATTTGTTATACAGTATTAAATATTCTAACATTTTTCATTAGTAACATGAAAATAAATATAAACTCAATACCTGACAAAAGAGCAGTAAGTAAAGAAAGGAGGAGGATGTGCAGACAGGGAGGAGCCTTCAGCACTTAGTAAAGGTCAGCCCTTGCAAATGACATTTGTTTTAGCATAAGCCAATGGATCTTTGTACATTCAAGAGCAAAAATTTAACAAAAACTGAAAACAAATAAGGATGAAAAGGAGTGGATCTGTATGGACAGTGAACTTGTAGAGTAGTAACAGCCTATGAGTGCAATGCTGCCGCAAAAAAATAGGCTAATGTGACCCTGGATGTATAAATAGGATATAAAAATAGCCAGGACTCTTAATACATATTTTTAAAAGGAATGATTTCAGAATACTGCATGTGATCCTATTTTTAAAAATGAAAAAAAACAAAACCAAAACCATAAAACCTGAAAGAAAATACAGACACTTCAGGAGACAGCAACAACTCTCTTGAGGGCTGGAAGTGAGAGACTTCAAAAGCTCTCTGTGTTTGCCTTATAAATATAAACTTTGCACTCGATAATAAAGTTCTCATGGATAAAAAAACCTGCCAATTTTGCCCATTTTTGGGGGTCATCTGTAATGGCTCCCTACCTTGCTGAAAGAAACGGAAACTTTTATCCAGTACGTACGAGATGTTCCTGAGTTGTTAGTGCTGTCTTCAGAAATGAATGTCTGTTTATTGCTCTGGTTTACTTGCAAATCTTAGGCTTACCCACTCTAGAGGTAACAGTGAAATGGTTAAAATGAGCAGATCAAACTGAGTGATCCAATATCAGACTGTGATTCCATGAAGTTGGCCAAAATCTTGTGTTAACTGTGTTAATTCACACATATCCTGTCTGGAGGTGTGTAAACAAAAGAAGAAACCAGTGAAATGAATGTTTGAAAGGCTTTTTTCCTTGGTTGTACAGATATGATTGCAGAGTTCATCTTTAGAAGAGTATTTTGGAGTGAAAATTAAAATTCCATCCTGTCAGTCCTTGGAGCTCTGCTCATCGTAATTTTAGGTAAAACAGTTTCCTTGGGACCAGGTAAAACCTCTGAAAAGATTAATTTCAGTTGTAAAATCTAATAATAGCAGTGTAAGATAGTGTCCAGAAAAAAAGAATCTGAAGCTCAATATGACATAATGAGTAATAATAATATATATTAAAGTATGTGTTGGAAAAAAAGGCTGAACACTTCTAAGAATGAAATGTGTAGGTAATTAAACAATAGGCTTGCAGATATATGTTCAGGTCTGTATATTATTATGCAAGTGTTAGTATCCCCAATTCAGTTATTTAAGAAAGGACATTCAAGTGCTAAATCTGAGTTCTTTTTATCCAAAGAGTTTTTTTTAAAGATTCTTTGAGTTCATTTTGAATTGTGACATGACTTTGTACTGGCAGACCTAAACTCTTGTTCCCTGTGCAAATTTTAGAGCCATCACCTCAGAAATGTGCCTGCTAAAAGTGGAGGTTGGATGTCACAAATGTCAATAACATTGCTTAGTCTCAACCAGTGTACTCTGAGCTTTTCCCATAAAATAATCACTGCAGTAGTTCCAGACACGCTTCTGTTTATGCTGGCAGCTAATGGCTTGTCCATAATGGACACTTTTCACTTTTTTTAAAGAAAGATGGAGCTTTTTATGGCATACAAAGGAGCATAAATAAGTAAATGTAGGGACAAGGGTCAATAAATATGACTTTGTGATCCCATTAGCTTTTTACGGAATTTTCTCATTATAAGCATAGGAGTAGTGCCCACCATCTTTTTTTAGTCTCTTCGCATATGAATTTCCAGTTCTTCTGAAACTTTCCCTGTCCTGCAGGTAGAGGGGAGGCATCCACTCCTGTGTGTAATTCAGATGTTTACATCTGGCATTCCTCTTAGCCTGGAGCTCTTTGGCAGAGGGATTTTCTGCCATAATAGCTGTGAGTTGGAAGTGCCTTGGCAGTACAGATTTGTCTGCCATTAGGGCTGTGCTGCTGGGGATAGGCTGCTTCTTAATCACCTCATTTAAAGACAGCTTGGGTGTCTCTGTCCCACACTGAAGTCTAGCATGTAGATATCTCCAATCCTCTGAAGTGCCTGAGGCTTTTATTGCTTTATCTGTGTCTTCATTTAGTATAGCAGACTCAGCTGAATCCACAGCTTCACTGGAGTTTGTGTTTCTTTGGCACAAACATAAGGTTTACTTGTTATTTCAGTATTCGCACATTTTTGATTGATAATTATTTTATGTCTTGTAATACATGTGCTGTTGGAAAGACATTTTCATTTTTATGATTTTTGTTTCTGATCCTGAAGGTGATACCATTCTAGCTCTATTTAGTAGTTATTTGATGGCTTGAATCCTCCAGTTGGAAAATTCTCCAGTTGGTTTGAATTTTCCAGTTCTTACAGATTTGGTAGCTACAGGTGAGAATATGTGAGCATTCAAGAGCCTTGGAATGTCAAATGTATCAAAAATTGTATTTTAACAAAAGTCAGTGCCTCATTGGGGATCATTTGGTAAATGCATATGAGGAATATTATTAGATCATGGCTCAACTAAATCTAAACTTAATATACTTCCAGTGATTAATTTACTCTATTTACTCTAGTTTTTAATATTTTTAATGTATAGCTTTGAGCCTTCAAGTAGTACTTGATTAATTCAGGCAAGGAATTAATTAATTCAGGCTCCACTGAAGAAATGAATTCATTTTCTTTTCTGTATTTTGGGTCTTGTTCCACTAAAGTATTAATTTTTGAATATCTGGATGATGTTTATTAAATTGCGATATTGCTACCACAAAAATTGTAAAACTGACATGACACTTCAAACCCTAATTAATGCAGCTCATAGAAAAATTTATTTCTGCCTGCAGGTCTATAAGAATATCACTTGACAAAGAGCAAGGTATAACTTGAAACTCAGTGGAAAAAAAGTCCATAACAAATGGTCCATATTTTCTGGGTGGAGAGAAGATGGGGGGGAGAGATGGAAAGAAGAAAACAAACACCTGAGATGAGCTGAAATATTCTCAGAAACCTACTGAGTAGTTGGTTCTCTCTATGAAAAATAAATGTGTAAACCCAGTTTGGGTTCTTTGGATTTTTTCTTGGCGGTAATAGATCCCCAGTTATAATCAACTTAAAAGTTTTATACAGTAAACTGCTGTGTCAAATGTCAAGTGAGAAGGTGTTTTTTCTGACTCTTCCACAAGAGCATGTTAGCTTGACACCAATAGAAAATACTATGACAGCTGTAAATCACATACAAGACAGCAATAGTCTCAATGAGGATAGTGGGTTTTTTTTTAAAGTAAAATAGGGATTGTAAAAGTTATTAATTTATACTCATAGTATTGACAAAGCTTCATACAGTGAAGTGGTGAAGAAGCGGAGAGCAGAATACTCCCCTTTGTTGAATATATTTTTAAAATGTCATTGTTTCTCCACATAAATCATTAAGCTTTTATGTGGCTTATGTTGAGCTTTTAGTTGCCTGTAATTCTGTTGACAAGACATCAAACTTCAGTTTCAGGTTAAAAGTCACCATCCATACAAACACAGAGGAGCTCTAAGTGTCACTAGTACAAAAGAGAAGGGAAGATGCTGGGCCAGGTTCCCTCTAATATGCTTCCAAGTTCAGTGTCCATGCCAAGGTGCCTTTTCCATAAGCAGAAAAACATGACCTGGCTTCTGCTGCTACTGTACTGCTCCCTATAAACACATTGGAGATAGCTGTACATTGATTATTTGGACAGACAAGAGGTAGAAGATAGCACACAGAAATATAAACCCCACAAATGTGTGGATAGTGGGGTTGTGTTTCAGATTAATCGCTTAATTATTTTTATCCATCTTTTAACCATTCAGATAAGAACTGGAATTAGTGGGCTGTAAGGAGGAACTCGGCAATCAAAACACACCAACTCAATAATTAAAATAAAGTGCCCTGTATAATGCTTAATTTTGTGTTTAAATCCTAATACAGATTTCTGAAGTTAGAGGGTCGGATGAAACAATTCCATTAGAGGGCAGTAGTACCTGTGGGTAAAATGTATATATTTTGTTCAGCATCAGTGAATGGAAGTGAAAAAGGAAGTTAATATAATTTAACATTAAAATAATGCAGAAACATTCTGTAACATACAATAATGCACATCCTCTCTTATATCAAAAAAACCAACAGCAATATGACAGAAGTGATGCAAAATATATGCAGCAGATATTAACATTGTGATACTCTATCCAAGAGAGAAACTGAAGTTGTTTGTCTTTCTGTGTTCTCAATTTGTAAATTGTATAACTTTATTTCTGGTAAGTTTATGGGTTTCATTAAAAAAATCTTACTTTTGAAACTGTGTATTTTATTAGCTTTAATGTTGCAGATTTTCCAGTTTTCCAGCAAGGGATTGCAGGAATGTGCATGTTTGATCAGGCATCTTTTAGTGGTTAAATATCAGTAGTGTACTGTGATTTGGCAATGATTTCTGCAAAAGATTTAGGGTTTTTTATGAGCTTTGAGGCTTTTTAAAGTAAGAAATGTAAGCCATGAAAGCCCAAATGAACCTGGCTAACATGGCAAGTTTCAGTCCTTCCTGTTTTAATACTTTGCTGTGTCTAATCCAAGCAATACCACAAACACCATTTCTTTTTCCATTTTCAGTTGTGTTACTTGATACTACAACTGCCCTCGGAGAGCTAGGATGGAAAACATTTCCCTTAAATGGGGTAAGTCTCTCACTATTTTGTTTTTTTTGGTCTGGATTTTGGCATTCCGACACTCTGGAAGTGAATGGGTGGATATTCTTCCAATATAGACTTGTGTGAAAGATTTTAGTTGTTCTTGGGACTGGAGCTGCCTCTGTTCTGAGTACGAATTACAGATGCAAGAATGACATAAGTACAAATTATTATGTTCTTCTCTTGCTTTTCTGAGTACTAAGTATCTAACTTTAAATCCAATTCTAACTGTTACACATCATAAAGTTTCGTATTAAAAAATTCCTGTGCTGGAGGAATGTGTTACGAATTGGGGTTGGTTTTTTTTTGTGAAATAAAAGGAAAAATAATTTTCTGTTTTGCAAATTGGACCAACAATTTTATGGTTTAAGTAAGAACCAGTATGTACGTTAGCATCTGATTACCTAAATCAGAAAAATGAAAACATTAATAGTGTTTGTTATCCTTGGGGACAGTGAGCAGGGGGTGGAGCAGCATTTTTACTCTCTGAAGTTCAACTATCAGTGCTTTGCCAGCGGCTGCACTTTTGGAACCTTTTTTTTTCTTTCCACCCAGCTAATGTATGGCACAGAGTATCAGGGGCATTTGAAGTTTCACTTTTAAAGTAAGATGCACTATTCTGGAGCATTTAACATGTTCTGCATCAACTTTTAGTTCTTATGTCACTGTACATACTGTGTATCACTTATTTTTATACTAGCTTTCATTATCTCTTGATTCTTATGTATGAGTTGTATAATTACTTGCTTCTCTGAAATGAGCTCAGAAAATACTGTTTTTCTGAGAGAAACATCTTGTTCCATTTTCAGTCATTTTATTTGCCATGTTCTGTTCCAGAAGGAAGTAGAAACTGTCTACCCTCAGCACCTTAATAATCCATTTTTATAAAATGCCTTCTGTGTCTTTGCCTTCGGGGATTTCAAGCCATATGACATTTCTTAATCTCAGCCTGTTTTCAACTTTATGGATTACTCTTTTTCTTTGTATTCCTAGGCATAATTTCCGTCTCTCACAGATACTTCTGTGTTTTACATTTTGCATGCAGTCTCATGCAATCTGAGTTATGATTCTGAAAGTTTTGTTTCCTTTAAAAATCCCTGACAAAGTAAATGCTGTCATACACCTCAATGAGAAATTAATAAAGGAGTTTTTGGTCTAGAAAAAAGTTTGTTCTGTCACCTACCATGATGAGAAAATCCAGTGAGGAATGTTTTGCTTGAGCTCTGGGATGAGCTCCACTGAAGTGCAGAGGACATTTGGAAAGCCCACAAGATATAATTGCAGTTATTGTGTAAATTCTTAAAAGCTCTTGGTACTCCAAAATAGGCACAGTATACAAACACAAAAACATGTGCACGCCAAGTTAATTTAAAACACAGCTATTATAACATGTATTTTTTGGCTCCTCATACGTATCCTAAACAACAGTTTTGCAGCCTCTTGAGGGTTTTGGGTGTCTTAGGACCTCTGCTGTATATTAAGAACTGCAGCACTTACTAGAATACATAAAGGAGTTTACCTTTCAGTAAGAACCTGGGATTCAATTATTAAAATATTTCCTAAAAATGTACAAAGTGGTTTGGAAAGAAAAGGAGTTAGAGTAAATATTGGGGAGTAGAGGGGTTTGTAGCATGAAATCGTAGAATCATTTATATTGGAAAAGACCTTTCAGATCACTGAGTCCAACTGTTAACCCAACACCACCGTATTCACCATGTCCACAAACGCTACATTCACACATTTTTTGGACACTTCCAGGGATAGTGGTTGATGTCCACAGTGCTACCTAATCTGAGTTACTCTTGTATCCTGATATAATCCAGAATATGGCACAATCACTGGTGTGATTGAAATTATCACTGCAGAGGTAAGAATCCGTTTTGTCCCATGATGGGCACATGAGGATTTTCTTGTTTCCTGAAGGAAAGTGACAGATTTTGAGTTGGTATTTTTTGAAAGAAATTTTTGTTCAGATACTATTGAAATCTAATGGGTTACTTTAATCAAACCTTTTTTAAGTGTTTGTGTAGTGTTTATGTGTGTAAGAAAAATGTCATTGACATATGATTACTGCTCTGCTGAACATTTTTGCTGTTAGGAGGATGGGATGATGGGTTTTCCTGAGCCTGTGACATTAGCAGAAGTCATTAATTTACTGGCACACTCAGTCACGAGGAATGTTTTCATTAAATTGAAGAGCAACTGAAATAATAATGCTTGGGATTTGGGTAATATTGAGTATGCCTCAGAGATTTTAAATGAACAGGCCAGGGTGAAGTGGGATATAAAAATCAGGAGGTTCTTTTGGGACTTGCAGAACCTTAACCTTTGCCTCCCAAACTTTTCATTTATAGTAGATTCATGACATAACATTTGTAAGCTTTCAGCAGTTTTGGTCATCATTGAGCTGCAAAGACAACTGTGTTATCTATTTCTTGGGAATATAATATGTGATTTTGTTTTCAAATTTTCTTCCCAGTTATTTGTGCATCCTTCCTGAAGCATGAGAGTGTAATAGTTTTTTTCTTACAAATGTCTTTTATTTGCGTGTCAGATTTTTTTCCTTGTATTTTGAATTTAGTGCTTAGAGCTACAAAAATGCAGCATAAAATATTAATATCTCTGAGGTCAATAGCATCATCTTTTGTTGACTGAGTTCCAGTTTAGCTTCTTAGTGATGGGCTGTCTAAAATTTCTACCTTAATAATGGACACATCTGATACTTCCTCTGTTCTTTGGGCTGTAGTTCAGCATGACCGATTGATTTATGAAAAAGCATGCACTATGAAAGGAGATCTTTACTCACCAAACTGTCACTCCATAACCTTGAAAATATAGAACAGAGGTTTGGGGGTTTTTTGATTGGTACAAAAAATGGGAAGACACAAGTTCATGTGTTTCAGAAGAGGATATGGATAGGAGCTAGTGGGCAGTCTCAAGCGCTCAAGTGCATGTGAAGTAAAATCCAGCAGTCTAACCAAAGTCAGTTTGCTGACCTTGGGGACACCGTTAGGAACTAGGAAATAAATGAAAAAAATCTGAAAGTCCAGCTGAAAAGCAGTGGTCCACAATCTTCCTTTAGACATTAGCAGAAATACTAATAAAATAACACCTTATTCAACTGCAGTTGGTGAGATATTTTTCTTCTGTCTTCAACATAACTTAAAAAAATATTATTTATTTCCCATTGCATTAATCATTGGAACACAATTTTGTGAGCAAAGTTTGCTCAGAAGCTGTGGTTTGGGGACTGTTGCCATAAAGGCATATGCAGTCCTGATAAATTTCTGCCATAGAGCCATAAAATGGTTTGGGTTGGAATGAAGCTCAAAGATCATCCAGTTTGAACTCCCTGCCATGGGCAGGATGCCACAGGACCACACTGCTCAAACCTCAGACCATCCAGTCTGTCCTTGAACACTTCCAGGGATGGGGCAGCCACAGCTTTTCTGTGCCAGGGCCTCACCACCCTCCCTGGAAAGAATTTCTTCCCAATATCTAAACCTCCTCTCTCTCAGTCTAGAGCCTTTAGCTCTCATCATATCACCCCATGCCCTTATGAAAAGTCCCTCTCCAGCTCTCTTGTGGCACAGGAAGGTGCTGTAAAGTCCCCCCACAGCCTTCTCTTCTCCAGGCTGAGCAAGCCCAACTTGTGTGTAGCCACTCCAAAATTCAGTTTAAAAGGAGGGCAAGGTGACTCACAGCACAAAGCTGTGAGACATTTACATGTGGCAAAGACTTATAAAAGCTGTCTTGACTTGTCATAGTAGACACAATGCATGGCCTCAGCTGTAAAGAACATACTAGAAGTCCTCTGAATTATTTGACAACTCTGTGAGTGATGAAACTACTTTAGTTTCCACAATTATTTGAACAGTTTCCTTGCAAATTGGTAATTTACCTATTGATCTATCCAGGGAAATAATTCTGGTTTGACTATCTTGTTTGTAAAGGGGATTTTAATTATTTTTAATAACAGTTGCTAATATACAGTATTACTATTCTTCCCATGTTATGAATTTTTTGAGACTAATCTTGTCAAAGTACTTTTTTTTTCCCCTACCAGACTGTTTATATTACTCTCTCTGTTAAAATAATTGTTTTACAGTAAATGCACTCATCAACAATTTATTTTTTAGCTGATTCTTAGCTAATTAGGAGACATTTTTGTAGTTTATGGTAACAAGAGTTTTGAATGGCTTGGTACTGTTTGTCACAGATGGCACTGATGTTTTCCTGTGCCAGCCTGAAAACATTTCTTTCAATGCAGCTGCATCCATTTTCACCTTCATCTTTTAAATGTCTCAGAAAATGATGGGGGGACTATATCTTGGAACATTCTTCTACAATAGTTAACATTTTTAACTATTTATTTCCTTAAGTAGAATGTCTTTGAACTGTATTTATAAACATAAGGAAGTTTTATATACTTAATACCTATTTCCTAAATAAAACAATGGTGTGTTCTCGGCATTGTTTTGGTCACCAGTATAAACACAGCACCAAAGGGCAGCTGGAAAGAAATCAACTCTGTCCCAGAGAGACACAGTAAACATAATTAGAATTCAAGTTGTGTGAAAGTTACCAGGATAAAACAGCAATACCATAAAAAGACTTCTAGCTGAAAGTATTTCAGTTTTCTTCCAAACAAATAATAAAATCATTTGGGTAGGAAATGATTTGGATCACTGAGTCTGACTGCAAATTAACACTGCCAAGTCCCTCACTAGGCCATGTCCATAGGTGCCACATTGACTTGTCTTCCCACATCTCCAGGGCTGGGGACTCAACTGCATCCCTGGACAGCCTGTTCCAATGCTTGCTAACCTTTTCCATGAAAAAAAAATAAAATCCTAGTATCCAGTCTAAACCTCCTCTGGTGCAACTTCAAGCCATTTCTGCTCATCGTGCCACTTGTTCCCTGGGAGAAAAGACTGAGCCCTGCCTGGCTACCCCCTCGTTTCAGGTGGTTGTAAAGCGTGACAAGG